TTTTCTCTCTGCTGGATGACTGACTCAGTGGTGCAGGTATGATTTTTGTCAGGCACGCTGGTGACATACAAGCAGCAGCAAAACTCTGCTAATGAGGCTGGTATGAGATGCTATATTGCTCTGCTCTCTCAAATAACTAGATTAACTGTGTGTTTTCTTATATCCTGGAATGTGGTCAATAGCAAACCAGGGAGGGCACTGATTTTTAGTAAAACACTTCAGCAACTTCCACAAGAATATTCTGTAGCAAGTTCTAAAGTGCTTTTCTGCTGTTTCCCATCCAAGTGATTTTCCACAGTGCGCTTGGCTGGGAGTTATTAACTGCAAACAGACTGAGCTGCTGAGCACTCCCTGATCCAAACCCATGCTTGTCACTCAAACGCCCCAGCATGAATCAAGTACAAATGTGAATTTTCACAGCCAGTGCAGTTCATTTGGAGCAAGCATCCATTTAGCATTACACAAAACACAGCCGTCCACCCCTTGACAGTCCTTGCTTGTCCTGGTGTTTTGAGGGAGAAGGGGGAGGACATTTACTCCTGATGGTGAACTTGAAAAGTATATTTTCCTTTTAAATGCCAACCCATTCCTTTTCCATATGTGTTTCAGAAATATCTCTGACACTTTGGCTCAATACCCAGGTATTCCAACTGTTATTCTAAGATGGTGGAAATTAAAATTCTGTTGACTTCACTGGAGCTTTGCCAGTTTTTCTCAGAGGAAGATTTGATTTCAGAATATTTAGTGGAGTCTATATCTGACACATGCACTGCAGGCACTGTGGGTGCTGGGTGGCAGCTGTACTGATGCCAGTAGCTGGAGTGATTGGGAAAGTGAAATTCCACTGTGTAGCAAGGGCTGTGGTTCCAGCCTTCTCATCTTTCTCATCATCAACCTTCCATCTCATATGGAAATGATATATTCAAACTGTCTCTTGCAAAGGTAGAACTGTGTTAGGCTGTCCTTTTCTAACCCTGAGTGACGTGCTGAATGCTTGGAAGTGTGTCCTGACTCTAGGACCCTGAGCACTTTGAGTCCAGCAGAGCAGAGGTTTGTACCTTGGCTTCCTGAATTTCCTGTGGGAGCCATGGTCTCAGGTCACTACATCCTGAAAGCATCTCTTTTTCACATCACAGATCTCAAAGAATATCTTGACATAGTAAGATTGAAGTGCTGTTTTTTTCATCCTCCGAAAGGGAGTCAGTGCCTCAAATTTTCCATGCTTTTTCCAAATGTATCATCTCTTCTATTAAAATTTACTGTGTCTCCTTCAATTTTCTTTTATCCTTTAACACCTCTCATAGTTTCACAAAAAAACCCATAAAAAACCCCCACAAAAACCACAAAAAAAAATATAAATCATTGTTCCAGCAAGCACAAAGCAATGGAACTAATGTAGGTTTCATGTCACAACAACTTGGGCATATAACTAATGAATCCATTTGTTAGATACCTGCTGACCTCCACAGAGAAGTAGTTCCTGATCCTGACTTTATTTGGTTGTTCCTGTGCATAATCCCACCGCAGACACTGAAATTAATGATAAATCTCCTGTGGATTTCAGTGTGTGCAGGTTGAGGCCCTCATTTATTAAGGATTTATCATTGCAAATTTACTGAAAACACCAAACCCTCACAGCTCCTGTGGGCCTCATTTTCAGTCCTGCAGAGGCATCATAATACTATGTTTGCTATAGCTGAGTCATTCCCATGACAACAAATGGAGTCAAAAATACAACATTCTGACCTTGCTGTGTGATCAAACAAAACAGAGAAACTTGACATTGAAGACAAAAGTTCATTGAACACAAATACCTATAAACCTAGCAAGAAGGTGGGAGAGAAGCAGCAGATAAGGGCAAAATATTTCCCCTTCTCTGAAGTTCTGCCCCAAGATAAGTCTCTCTCCACAGATTTTTCTAATGCTAGGAGCTGCTGTGGTTAGCTTGAGTATCCTCCTCTGCAGAAAGCTCAGAGGAGAGCAAATGAGAGCTTGTTAATAAATCCATTTTGCATTAATTCTTTCTGGAGGATGAGCTGTGAAAAGCAATACTATTTTACAGCTTCTTCCAGTGTATCTAAGAGCACTTTGAGAAATGATGAGATTGAAATGTTATTTGGGTTATTAATAGTCTTTGCTATAGAAATCAAGGCAGAGTCAGTGAACTGCTCTGAATCAAATGCTGGATTGGTAGAAGAATCAGGGTAGGAAAAACAGTGGCTGACTGGCAGTGTGGCCATCACAGGAAAGCAGTGCCTGAGTGACCATATGATATCTGCTGCCTGGGCTGTGGCAGGAACAGAGACAAGGCACAACTGGAAATGCTCACATTTCCCACCAGTTCACAGGCAGAAAGATGTAACAGGGAAGAGAGCTGTTGCAGCTGGCCTGGCAATGAAAGAACAGTTTCAGATTGAAGTAGCTTTCAAAATAAATTCTAAAGGATTGACAGCAGTAAAAGAGAAGTTTTAGGTGTTGCTAGGAAGACTGGTGGTCCTCACAACTGTGTCAGTGAGAGGTGGGTTTCTGTCCCAGTTTGAGTTTGTGAGAACATTTTTGAGGATTCCAGTTGGAATGAACTATTGAACTCTCAGGATCTTTCCCTGTAACATCAGCATTAAGACTTACTGTGCCTTAGTGGTAGGACAAAGAGCATGGTTTGAATTGTCCCAGTGCAGAATTAACTCAAATTGCATCTTCCACTGACAGGACTCCAGCTGTTAATATCTACAAACAGCTTGTTCATGCATTCTGGAACCTGGCAAGAGTCTTTTTCCTTACAGATAGGGCACACTGATAAATGTATTTGTCATATTGCTGGGTATTATGGATGCAATGAAGAACGAAGAATGAGAAATCTTTGTCAATGAAAACAGAACTGTGGATGACAGTGCACTGGTTTACACTGAACACACCAAGAAGAGGCTGATCCATGGCATTACAGAGACAAGCCCAGAGAGCTCCAGCCAATTGTTGGGGCTGCTGCTCTTGTCCATAATAGATTTAGCATTGAGTGTAAACACAGAAGACCCTCCAGGGTTTGTTCAGCCCTTAGGTAGATGATATCGAGGGGATGAGAGGGATTTCAGGTCTGGACTAGAGAAGGGAAAGTCTCATTAGTACAGCTATTTATGCCTTGTACTCTGAGAACAGGTCACAGTAGGAGCAGATGATACCTGTGAGGCAGCCAGGTTGGTGAAGCTTTGATTTCAAGGTAAATAATCACTGTACCCAGGGAACTTGCCCAGTGGTGCTCAAAGTCAGTCCCACTCACACCCTGGCATGTAGACTTTATCCACTGACAGTTCCAGTGCCCAGGGACCTGAGTTTTCCTTGGCCTCAGGGAACAAATTACAGCCCAGGTACTGTGGGCCAGAAATGATAGAGCAAGCAGCTGTTGCTCTGCTGCCTCTACATCTGCCTGACACAATAATTAAATCTCAGCAGCCATTCAATATAATGGAAGCAAACCAACTACAACAGAAGGATTTTGCAGCACACCTGTCTCATGATGTGTAACTGCAGCTGTGTATTTACCTTTGTAATTAATTCTGTAGGCATTTATATGGAGTTATAAGGGACTGAGTAATTTAGAAAGCAGTGGAAGAGATCATTAAAAAAAGTGAAAGCCATAATTACTTTCTTCTACCATCAATCTCCTCCATATCTTCTTTGCTGATGCTTCCCATGGATAGTTTATGTTCATTATATTACCTTCTTATCAAAATTATCTCAAATTTCATTTCCAGGTTGGGAAAAAGGTAACGGTGCTATAGTGGGACAAAGGCATTGCCTGTTAAACACCCCACAGTGAGCAGAAGCCCTAATTTTGCTGTGGGACTGACATTGCCTGTGACTTGAACACAATAAATTAATTTTCTTTTGTGGAAAGTGTGGGCCCTACTCCAGTGGATGTTCTGTGCTGACATTTATGATGTAGGCTGGTACCTAATGTAGCTGATTAAGAACTGTATTTATGTTCATTGTATAAATCCTAGTTTGATAAAATAAGTGGGTTATTGAGCCTTTTTTATCAGATTTCTTTTCAAGAGAGTTGATTTTTTTTTTTTTGGAAACTCACACAGTTCAGCTCATTGGCAGGAGTTACCCAGGAATCTTGCCAGTGGAAATCTCCCTTCTTAATTAATCTTTTCTGAATTCTGTAGCCATAGATATATTCTCTCCTGGTCATGCTAAACCAGGTTGCATTTATGAGATTAACTGACCTACTCTAGGTTTGCACTACTGTAGAGCAAGGTGTAATGGGACTCCTTTTGTGTGTCCCCTAGGGCTGCACAGAAATAAACGTAGCTTTAATGTCTCCTTCACTACCAATGTTGTGTTTCTCTCATTGTTTTGCATCACATAAAGTTTTGAGCTGGGCCTGGTAAGGTATAAGGTAGGCTGAGGCAGGCTGCACTGTGGGGCCTTTATTCTGACCTCCAGTCTTGCAGACCCCAAAGCCAGTGCATGGTGCTGCTGGGCAGATGACTTGGGGCTGGATGAGCTGCAAATGCAGTTCCTTTGTGCTGATGGAGAGCAGAAGCTGCTCCTCTCTTCCAGGCACCAGCACTGTCATTGTACTGACTGGAGAGCAGCAAACACAGACCTTCTGTGCTGTATGGTGGCTGTGAGGGGACCACTCTGCGCATTGGGCATGAGCATGTGTGACCACCACTTGGGAAAATGGGGTTGCAAGCAACTCTAGAAAATTTCTAGAAAGTCAGCAGCGTTTTCCTTCTAGAAAACAACAGTTTCCAGCAGGGAATTCTTGAAAATACTGAAACATTCTCCTGAAAGACACAATTTAACTTCAGTCACCTTCAGTGTGCCCAGCACCCAGTCTGGGTCCTAGGCCAAGGACAACAGGGCCTGTTCTGACTTTCTCCCTGGCAGTTTGATGTGTTTGAAGTAGACCTCCCCAGCAATGTGTTTGTATTTGAAGTAGACCTCCCCAGCAATGTCTTTTCCTGAGCTGCTCTTTGCTTTGTGTTTCCCAGGAGCGCTCTGGAGGCGCATGCTCGTTCCTGCATCGCGTGCGCCGGGCCGCGCTTCCCCTGCAGCTGCTGCTGCTGCTGCTGCTGCTCCTGGCCTTCCTGCTGCCCCTGGCAGAGAGAGAGAGCCACAGCTGCACCCTGGCCAACAACTTTGCTCGCTCCTTCAAGCTGATGCTGAGATACGAGGGTCCACCCCCAACGTAACCGCTGGCACGGCACCAGGTGACGGCGGAAGGGCAGAACTCTGGTTTTAACTGCAGCTCACGTAGGTTTTTAGGGCTTCTAACACATGCCAACGGGATGCATCACATAATGCAACTTATGATTACTCACTTTAATCAGGTATTTGAGTAAAATTAATATTTTTACAATTTTTTTATTATTGTACTTCTGTATATAGAGATTGTTTATGTGTATGTATGTATATATATATATATAAATGCATATCTGTGGTCAAACTAGCAACCACCATCCACTCATCCACTGTTTAAAGATAATTCTGCAATGTTTCTGCCATCTTTCAGCAAGGAAAAAACTGAAGGATGGTGTTGTGGGATTTTCTGGGTGATTTTTAACATCAGATTTTGGTTTACAACTGAAGTCAGAGCAAGTATGAGAACATGTGGTCGTGTACCAGAGTGTAAACTGGAGACACAGTAGAATCATAAGTGGTTGACATTCAGCCCAAGGAAGATTTGGACTTTTCTCTTTGAAATCTTGAGCTGATTTTTCAGTTTCTGGATACAGGGATTGCAGAAGCTAATAGAAATGTTTCTACTGACTTCAGTAGGAGTGGGAGTGGATCTCCTCTTGTTCTTATTTTTTACAAGATTTCTTTTCCAATTACTGTATTTTCCAGCCCACCTGAATCAGGAGAGGTGGAATACAGTGGGAAGAAAGCTAGAAAAAAAAAAGAATATATTTTTTTAGCATCTCTCTATCAGGAGAACTTTTAAAATCAGATCATAATTTTCTGAACAAATTTATGAGCACTGAACAAAACCTTGTATCACCAATCTTGTGTATAACAAAGAGTAGGTTTTTTGTTAGATTTTTGTGTTTGTGGGGTTTCATGGTTTGGTTTGTTGGGTTTTTTACTTTATAAAGAAGCATTTGGCAACGGATTATAAAGCCTGAAAAATGAGATGCAGCCTGGCTTGGTGTCAGTAAAGCAAAAGTTGGAAGTACTTTAATAATACCACCCTGGAAAGAAGATTCCTACCTAGGATTCTTTTGTATTAATGGTTTATTGAAATTGTGTAAACTGATTGTATCAACGACAGTCAAGCATAATCTAAATCTTTGTAATCTAAACTCTAAAATTATGGCAACTTGTCATTTATTTCCCTAAGCCTATGTCTGATTTATCAAATTTTTGAATGTACATTATACATTGCCTTTAATGTAAAAGCAGTTCTCACTTCAGAGGGATGAAGCCATTCTTAGTGGTGTTTTACCTAACTGACTCCTGGGAGGAAAGGTAATTTCTAAAAATTTATGCCATTTCTGAGAGCTGTCCCTTCTTGTCTCATGTTTTAGCTGCAGTAGTAATCATGAAAAAATTAACATAAGAAACAGTTACTTTCCCTCTCCTGGCTTTGTTGCAGGAGAAATTTCTCTTCTGTGTATCAGTATGGGGTACTTGGTGTGGTTTTCTGCATAAGGTCTAAAATAATATTGCAGCTGACAGACTGAAGGAGGAAGGCACTTATTTAACAAAATCACTGAAGTTCTGTTCAAGAAGCAAAATTGTGTAGAATCAGGAGGCATAACAGCATGGAGCTCAGTTTGGGCACAGGATTAGGAGAGCAGACAGTGTGAAATAGGAGCAGTAAAACATAGAGAGGAGAGGTGTCCATCAATTTGTAAAGCCTTAGAAAAGGATTCACAATTAAGCCACAGGACAAGCGCACAGACTCTATGGAGGAAAAAAGTCTCAGAATCCTTTTGGCTCCCCTTCCCTTCTACACTGTTGGTAATATTACATATTAAACAGCTTTTCTTCAGTTTTCAAGGTTTAAAATGGGGTGAGTAACAGGACTTCTACGTGTTCTGAGGAGACTCTCCCACCACCAGGACTCTGTCACTGCGTTCCTAATAGTGTTTCTGACTATACTGGATTTGCTAGAGTTGGATTAAAATGCCAAAAGTCTTCTAAAAATGTAAAAGAGTGGAAATTAAAGGAGAGACAGCAGGGATGGTGCAGGTATCAGTCAAAGTGCCAGGGGAGCATGGAGCAGAGCTGAGCTGATGTGGTTAAAACCTGGCTGTCAGGAGGCAGCAGAAGAGCTCTCAGAGCAGGCAGAAGGGACTGGAAGCAGAAAGGTGAGCAGAGTCCATGTATGCTGAGTAGTAAGACAATCACTTTGGGAAGTGAAGGAAGGCCTGTGATTTCTTTCCTGTGATTTCTTTCCCGAAGGAGCCAGATGGAGGGGAGCTATAATTTGTCAGAGAATGGGGCATATTAATTCCTTCCTTGCAGCCATTCTTTCTGGTGGCTCCCTCCTCCTGACATAGCTCCTGCTCTCCTGATTAGCAGTGCAAGTGCCATGCACATTCCTCTAAAAATTGCTGCCAGCCCTGGGGGAAGAAACCCCTGTGGCTGCCCAGCAGGGAGTTAATCATCACACACAGTCAAATTAAATCTTCCTTTAGAAAAGAACTGTGGGGGAAGAGGGGCAGTAACAAAACCTGCTCTGTGTGGTTGTGGATGTGTGTAGGTGTGCACACACCTTTCTGTGATGTAGCTACATTGCAGTTTTCTGGGTTTTGCTGAGCTGATCCAGGTGATGAAAGTAAAATACCAGTGAGAAAGTAAAAATAATGAGGAAAAATAAAGCTGCAAATGGAAGTCAGTAGGGAGATGGAAATTTTTTTTTTCTATGAAAGCACAAAATCTCACATCAGATTTCTTTCTGCCAAGCCCTTCTGATCTGGGTGATTTGTATGGGTTCACAAATGCATTTGACACCATTGGAGTGTGTAACAGGGAGAAAAAAATTCTGCACAGAAGATCTTACAAGAACAACTACATCATCACCTTGATGTTTCAGTGTGGTGGCAGGTTTAAAAAAAAATAACCAAACAACTAAATTAGAAACACACTTTTGCTTCTGGATTTGCAATCAGTTTATTCTGTAAGTCCCCTGTCTGTAATCTTGGAAAGTTTTGCTTTAAATCTCAGTCAATCCGTTCTCATTAACTTAAATAATCTGAATATCTCACAGAAGTGATGAATATTTCTACTTCTTTGCAATGAAAACTATCCAAAACACAGGACTTTAATGTTCTTATCACTGAAAACAATTTAAGTCTTCCATAATGTCATTTACCTCACCTGTTCAAGGCAGGTGTGAGATTTTTCTGGCAAAGAAAGAAGAAAATTACAAAAGCTTGAGATGTAAATGCAAAATTTAATTTTGTTTTCATTCTCTTGTGGGTTTTTTATTTCTGAAAAGCTTGCAATACTGATTCCTGGAAGCGTGTGTAAATATTAATCAAGTCAGTAATTGGAATAATGAGTCCAGCTTCCAAGAAACTGTACAAAGATCAGATTCCTCAAAACACAAATTAAATCCAAAGGATTTAGTTTTTAAGGACTGGTTTCCAAACCAGTCCTTAAAGTCTTGAGCACAGTTCCTCATCTTTGCTCACAGATGATTTGGTGGTGATATGCTCACTTTTGTGCCTGTAAAATCCCCAGCTCATCCATCTCTGACATGCAGATGTAACTGAGATGTGTTACAGCTCAAGTTCAGACTGGGGCCACTGCCTTAAGCCTTCCCTTGCCAAGCTTGGGATGCACAGAGCCCTGGATGTGTCTGCAGCTGAGGACTTGCACTGTTTTGCCCCAATGCAGTTGCAGCCACAGGCAAAGGGTGCTAAAAGCCTCTGAAACATACGGAGTGTGTCTGGGGTTGTGAGTGGTGTGTGCAGCTGGCCTGCACTCCCTGCAGCCCCCAGCCTGTTCACAGAGCTCTGTCCCTGCACTCTGGCACCCAGGAGCTGCTGCACCACAGTAATGGCCCTGAGGTGCAAAATCCTGCACTCCACCACTGCCCATGCATCACAGCAAGGCATTACCCAAAGGCCCACTCCACACCCCACCTCTGGCATGGGAGCAAGGCTCATTTGTAAACTGTAATTCATTCTGAAGCCTGATGCTTTCCAGAGAGTTTTCATGGCAGCAATACATTGAGGTAGAAAATTGCTATTGTGCCCCATGTCTGTTTTAACAGCCCTTTCTCTCATTCCAGCCAGCAATTTAAGTGGTATTAAATATTATTTATATATGCCCTCTCCAGAAATTTCTGTATGAAAAGCATCTTCAGTTCCAAGCACATACATTAGAAATGTTGTATTCCTCTGCTAGCACTCAATCTCCAGAGCAGTCATGATTTCTACCAAGTGCTACTTTATTTGTGCCGACGACTTAGAAGACTCAAATATTTGAGGCTGTAAATAAAGCTACTAGACTAACTAATTAAACCACCTAGTGATCACTGAATAACTTGGACAGCTTTTAGAATGCCTCTATGCTTCTCCTTAATCCTTTTGTTGGAGTATTTGTGGACCTCAGAGAGAAGAAATGTCTCCAAAAATTGGCCATTCCTAGACAGACAGATGGTGATCTCTGCACATCAGAAGAAACAGTATTTTCTCTTTAGCTGCTCTAGACCTCAGGAGTTTGCTACATCTGATGTCCTTTTCAATATTAAAAAGGGAATGTTTTACTTTGATGTGTGTGCATACACATCTCATTAGCACTAAAGAGATTTGAAGAGTGAATTCATGTACAATAATTCTTTTAACTTGTGTTGACACAAGAGAGTATATTTCCTCTTTTCTTTAGGGAAAAAACCAACCAAAACTGCTGTGACAGATTCCCAGACCAAATAAAGCCTTTTGGAATAACTGAATATTACAGACTGAAACTAAATTATCCACCATAGGAAATTGGAAAAATAGCTTTGCCTTTCAAGAAATGCTGATATAAAACCCCCAATAAACATGTGTTTGCCAGGCATCATAGATATCTCTCAGTTCATAGGTTATGTACCCACCTGGGTGTAAGAGCTGCTTTTGGAGGGTTGACTACCCCATGGACAGCATCATTTGCTAGGGTGCAGCTGAAAACACATTTGTCCAGAGAACCTATACCAACTTCTTCCAGAATTGCTGGGGGCTGTTGAGGATGTTCTTAGCAGCTCCCAGACACTGGCCTGCTCTGAGCCATTACAGATTTATTGCATTAATTTATCTGTCAGAGGTTGGTAACTCTCAGAAACCAGTTTATTAAAATACTAAAGATAATATTTCTGGTGCAGGCAAAATGATTCATTGAGAAATCAATCTTGTTACTTTTACCATACCTAAAAGAAGATATCTATTGGTTATACTGGAATATAAACAGGTTATTTGTAGGTGTTGGGTAAGTGCAATATGTTTTAGGCACGAGGCATTTTGACTTGTCCATTTAAGAATTGTGGGATCATGTTGCACTTGTTAAATGATAAAACAAAACAAAGATTCTTGAATAAAAAAACCCACAAAACCAACAAAAACCCCAAACAAACAAACAAACCACCGAACAGAACACACACCCCCCCGCCCCCAAACAAAAAAAAAGTAGGAGGGAATAATCTGTCACACAATTGGGTTTTTTATTACCTGTTTTCTATCCAATTCAAAATATGAATATGTGTCTACCAGAGAGTTATCAGTAGATCTGGAAAAGAAGGAATATATATGAAGGAATATATATCAGGAATATACCAGTTCAAACTGTAGCCTAAGTGGCACTTCTGTTCCCTAAGCTGCTTCAGCTAATGCCAGATTTTGCCTCATTGTACCTGTGAGATAAGAACCCTCCTCCTAGTAGAGTGTGGGTAAGGTGAAACTGCACAGCTCAGGGTGCAGCATCCCAGTGGAAGCAGTTCTTCCAAAGGCAGCCTGATATCTCCATGCAAGAGGAGCTCACAGGCCTGGCACAATGAGAGCAGCCCAGGACTGATGACACAGGCACAAGGACTTTGCCATCCCAGGGCTCTGCCACACAGAATTCTGACAGTGGCCATCAGCACAGTTCAGTATCATGTCCCTGGCTGTGGAAGGAGGCTCCCCTCAGGGTGATTCACTTGAGCTGAGATTTGAGCACTGGAAGTGGTTTTTTCTCTTCATTAAATGCAGAAGAAACTGCTAAATTAAACCCCTCAGTGACAGGTTAATGGTAGGTGGTGGGTGCTGATGCTCCAGAAAAAGATACAGGAAATGCTGTTATAGATGGAAAGCCACTCATGATGGTCTCTGCTCAATCCCCAGGAGGCAGAAATGCATTGTAAAACTGAGATGGGACTTTTTCTGTTCCTTTTCAAGTAAATGTCAGGTTGTCTTCAGTCTTCTGGATTTTAGGGGCAAGCCTATTCAGTACCTTACTGAATGCTGGTGGCTTTCTGGTTTCAGAGCCATTTACACCAGCCAGTTCCACATTATTCCAAGTTGTGTGATAAAGGTATTCCCCTGAACTGGTTTTGGATCACAAACCTTTTGTTTGGG